TTTTTTTTTTTTTTTTTTTTTTGCTTCTTGATCTGATAGGTTTGCATATTAGAGAACATCTAAACTGTTGAAATTCATATTGCAAAAATGTGTTTTGGACGTTGAGGTCTGAATTTGGAAATTTGTTTTTAGATGACATTTGTTGGTTATACTTTTGAATAAAAGAGTGTATTTGATTCATAGGATGAATCTCCTTTTCCATATCTTCCTTTCAATTTTTTTAATTATTTATTTTTGCCTTCAGCTTTTTCTCGACTCTACAACTATAAAACAAATGATATTTTGTCCTTTTTTGTTTTGTTTGTTTTAGTTTATGACTAGTGTGAAGTTTGAATTACTTAAGTTTTGGACTTTTGGTTAAGCGTGAAAGGTTTGAAGAAAAAGCCAAGGTTTTAAGGCTACAGAAGAAACATGCAAGATAGAAAAACGACATGATAATTTTAGCACTTTTATCTAAAATAATCTAAATATTCCTATACGGGACACATGTGCGACGTATAAGTGCAAAAACTAGTATATACTCAATATTAAATTCTAATATATATTCAAAATGACTCGTAACAATTGCACGTTAGAAATATGGGAGATACACGCAAAACAGTGGCGGATGTAGTCGTCTATTACTATCAGGTTCAATTGAACCCCTAACTTTTGATGCTGAGTAAAAATTTATGTGTAAAAATTTATTAAAATTACAAAAATAATAGATATGAACTCATAACTTTAAAAGTTGAACTCATACAATTTAAATTTTAGGTCCGTCTCTGACGCAAAGTGTAGTACTTAATATACATAATTTGAATAGAAAAGGCATTAATTGATCTCAAAGGATAATAAAGAGTGAGAGTACAATACATCCATCAAGTGTCCAAAAGAAAAGATTTTTCACAGTTTGACCACCATATGTATATTCTGATGATTGAGTAATACTCCTTTCATATAGGAGTAGTAATATATTGGGACCAGACAACTTATGTATGAAAGTTTTCTGACAACATGACCAAATGAGGAAGAAATTGCAATTACTATACAAACTTCGGCGCGCAATAATAAAAATTATGCCGGTGACCATGTTATGTTGTGAAATTTAGTAGTAGCAAACATTTTTTTGATATAATATAGCAGTCCAAAATTAAGCTGATTATTTTTTGTTGTTGTTGTTGTAGTTGTAATATAGCAGAGTCTAACAAATGTATGAACCACAATGATTTATGTTATTTAATTGAGCCCGTTTGGACATAAGAATATTTTCATATTTTTTCGATTTTTTTTTTACTTTTTCGAAATCAGTGTTTGGTCATAAAATTTTCAATTTTCACTTTAAGATGAATTTTGGAATTTTTTCGAAAATTTGAAAAACTCCAAAAAGCTATTTTTCAAAATTTTCACTCAGATCACTCACAAAATTTCAAAAACAACCCAAAATTATATTCATGTCCAAACGCAACTCTAATTTTCAAATACGATTTTCACTTGAACTTTTTTTTTGAAATTTTATAATTCTTATGTCCAAACGCCCACATAGACTATAGAGTAATGCAAGTTTTTCTATACAATTCATGCATTTAACATATTATAAGTGGTTATTTTATCACGTAATCAATTAATACTTATCATAAGGTATACCTAATTGTAACGATCCGACCGTTCGTTTTGAGTATTACAGCCCCGTTCCCCCATTTACTGCTCAATTTATGCCTTACAGTTAATTTATGACTTAACGGGTTAGTTGGTTCGGGTCGGGAAGGATTTCGGAGTGAAATGAGACATTTAGTCTCATAATTGAAAACATAAGTTGGAAAAGTTGACCGGATATTCACTTATGTGTAAACGACCTCGGAATTGAATTCTGATGATTATAATAGCTCCGTATGGTTATTTTGGAATTAGGAGCGTGTTCGAAAAATTATTTGGAAGTCCGTAGTAGAATTAAATTTTTGAAAAGTTTGACGGGGGAGGGGGAGTTGAGTTTATGATATCGGGGTTGGAATCTGATTTTGGAAATTGAAATAGTTTCGTTATGTCATTTATGACTCGTGTGCAAAATTTGAGGTCAATCGGACTTGATTCGATAGGTTTCGGCATCGAATGTAGAAGTTGGAAATTTCATAATAGACTAAAGTTTCAAGTGAGTTCGCACACGACCCAACTTCAAATGAGCATAACTCTCATGATACGAAGTGTTATATGGTGTATTACCTATAAAATGAAAGATCTTTGAGTATAATTTCTAACGCTTTAAACCGTTCGTCATTTGAACATTCCTACAAGAAGTTATGACCAAATTACCAAAGGCTGAAAAAATACAATTCTGCGACCAATTATGCGATCGCAAAATAGTTATGCAATCGCAAAACTGCTCCTGCGATCGCAAACTGGTCGCAGAATGGACCAGAAGAGCCCAGTTCTAGGCACCGATTTTGCGATTAACTTTGCGGCCCGCATACCCATTCTGCGGTCCATTATGCGACCGCAAACCTGCTTTCGGAGTGTTAATTTTTCTATCTTCATAACCCGATCCCATTTTGATAAATAAGCTTTGGGACTCATTTTGGAGCAAAAATCTGACATTTTTAGAGAGAAGGGAGAGTGTTCTAGAGAGAGGAAGAAGCTCAAGTGCTTTGTTCATTAAGATCTTGTTCAAGCTTTGAAATCTAACAAGAAAATATCACAAGATCTTCACCCAAGAGGTAAGTATCTAACCCCTAGTCTTCAATTTCGAGTTTGGATAAAGATGGGTGATTAAGACTATAATTTTTGAGTGTAATAGTATTATTTATACATATCAATAAGGTTTATAGAAAGATTGTTGAGTTCAAATGGGTAAAGAGTGGGTTGAAAGTGGTAGAAATCTTCAAAGACTTTAATTGAAGATTTGAAGGTCGAGTTGATGTCAGAATTTGGTAAAATTTATATGGTTGGACTCGTGGTTGGATGGACGTTCATATTTTATAACTTTTGTCAGGTTCTGAGACGTGGGCCCCACAGGCGATTTTTGAGTTAAATTCGGATTTTATTGAAAAATTAGTATCTCCTTATGGAATTAATAACAATAATTGGTATTGGCTGAATCGAATTAATTGTGGCTAGATATGAGGCTTTCGGAGACCAATTCTCGTGGCAAGGGCATAGCGGAATAAAGAATTACACGGTTTGAGGTAAGTAACAATTATAAATCTGGTCCTGAGGGTATGAAACCCCGAATTTTTGTATCATGTGATTACTTTGGAGGTGACGCACATGCTAGGTGACGGACGTGTGGGCGTGCACCGAGGGAATTATGACTTGGTCCGTCCCGTAAAACTGTAAAGTTGAATATCTTGTTGTTAGCTATATTCTCTCTATGTGTTGTGGAAATTTGACTGTAAGCCATGTTAGAAACCATGTTTAGGCTATATGTTGTTATTGCTGTGACCCACAAAGGTCGGGTACATGTTGAATTATCTGTTAAATTGTTATTTGGTACTCAGTCACAATTTACTTGTTTATTTTATCTCAGTCTCTATTGTTCATTATTGATGCATCATATCATTGTTGTTTGGGTTGATTTCATGATTATTGAGAGCCCGAGAGCCTGGAGAGACTTATGACTGAGTGAGGCCGAGGGCCTGATTGTGAGATATTGATACTATAGCACGTGAGTTGTCCGTGCAGCACTTGAGTTGGCCGTGCGGATCCAGATATGGATACTATAGCACGTGAGTTGTCCGTGCAACACGTAAGTTGGCCGTGCGGATTCAGATATTGGTACTATGGCATGTGAGTTGGCTGTGCAAATTATAACGCTTGGGCTGTAGGAGCCCCTCCGGAGTCTATACACCCCCAGTAAGCACGAGTACCCATTGAGTGTGAGTGTTGAGGGCTGGGAGCCCAATGAGTGATTGTTGTCCTGAGAGACTGTACTTACTTTTCATTTGTTGATGCATTTAGTTGCTATCTG